GAGATTAAATCTCATTAGTTAATTTGTATGCTCAATTGTGCCATTTTAATTAGAAAAGTGTAAAACTATGGTGTTTTTTTGAATGCGAACTTTCGCCCCTGCCTAGGTTCTGACCTGAATCTGGATTCTGAGATCAATCCTGATTTTATTTGTCAAATGTGTAACTAAAATAAAGTTTCAACACATCACAGCTTACGGGCCGTAGTGATAAGATAAATATTGTCTTCTTTTTGCCCCAGTCATGAGGGAAACTTAATTCTTATATTGAGCAGCCGTGGCGCAGTGATTAGAGCATGGAACTCGTAGTACAAAAGTTTCGAGTTCGAATCTTGCTCGAATCATATACGTTATCGGTTAGGCTTGAAATGGGGAACCAACTCATTAAATGCTTACGCTCTTGTGGCAGTGCTATGTGATAAGACCATTAGAGTATTCTTAAATGAAAATAATAAAAAAGTTTATATAGAAAAGACGAAATTGTATGCATTTTTAATTATGTAAAATATTTTGACAAATATTTAGAACATATTATTCTGTATTGTTCTCGGGATCAACCAAGGGTTGCAGTACAGATGATAGTGAAATAAACTTCTTTGTTGTTGCGGTGGACTTGTTGGTACAATTTTCTAATTTATTTTTTTTGAGTCGCTTAGCAGCATTGGTAAGTCGCAGTTGTTTTCTTTCGCATTTTTCTCTTTCCTGTTGGATTTTTTCTTGACAATATTTCAGCTGAGTATGCTTCTTGAGAAGTTAAAATTAAGAATCTAAGCTGACCTTCTCTGTTCGCTATCTTTTTCTGTGCGGTTGCCTAAGGATATGTCAAGATATCATTAACTCCTTCACCTACATTGATAAAAAAACATATTCAATAAAAGTACAAATATTTAAATAACTTTCAAAATTTTGAATTATTTTAAAATTAAAAAGTTATCAAAAGTAGCATTATTGCTATGAAATTATTGATCACTTTGTGAAATGATTAACTTACCAGGCTTAGGAAGAGTTTGCAAATGGAAAACCTGAAACTGTCGTAGAAGTTTGGTGGTTCTAAGATTTCTTTTTCTTTTCGCTTAGTAAGATTGGTAAAACTATTCACAATGAATTCAACATTTTTTTCTTCAAATGGATTGACCAAACATGCAAGCTGCATGAACAACAGTTTCTGATTTCAATTGAGTAATCTTCTTTAGTGCTATTTTTTAATTGTTCTAGATGATTAGCAACTTTTTCAGCATCCATAGAAGCATAAAAGTCTAAAAAAATTAGTTTCTTGAACAATTGATTATTGGAATTCCTAAGAAAAACATACCTAACATATCAAAATACAAATTAATGTTTAGCAGGCAAAACCATGAATCTAACAAACCTATAAAAAACAACTAAATAAGTACACATAATACAGAAATATATAAAGATTTTTGCTTTATCAATTTGCTAAGTTTGTAAAATTGATTAAAGTTGTAGTAAAGTAAAACAAGATTAGTTATTTTTAAAGTTGTTATATATTTTCCTATAATATCAGCGTAGTGTGCGACATAACGGGGCAGTTATGTCTTAAGCCTGATATCTTAGCTTAAAATTACTTTTTTTTTTCAAAACTATTTAAGATAAAACATTTTAAATTATTGTGCTTTATTATTATAAAAAAAAAAATTAGTTTTAGCATCAGTAAGTTTGCGAAAAATAAAATTGGCGTAATTAGGGGTCGTCCATAAAGTACGCATGCTCATAGGGGGAAGAGGGGAGGTCTTCAAAAAGCATACGAAAGCGTATAGGGGGGGGGGGGCTCATTTTAAAAATACGTACTTCGAATTTCTAATTTTACACAATTAATCAGCTAGTCAATAAAAAAGTTAAAAATTTTTTTAAAAAAGTTCTGACTAAAGATTCTAGTTTGCCAACATAAAAAGATGTACAGTAAAAGGAATAGAAGGTATATTTCTCTCTATGCACTCACATGCATGGGCGCCCGCAAGATTTTTTGATGTTCCAGATAAACCACTTCCACACATTGTGCAAAATCTAAACTTAAGTATGTTTATACCTATGCCATTTGAAAAGGTTTTGCAAACAATTGTTATGGCGGTAGTCTGGGAACAAAAAAGCCCTCAAATGCTTGCATCCCTTCCCCTGCCCAAACGTGAGGACATTAATGTAGTAAAATTTTCCGACCCTCGACCTCTGAAAAAAATAAATAAACGAGGGGTTGTACATTTTGCATCAACATTTACATCGGCATTTTGTAATTTACAATATTTTCAACGAAATTTAAATTCTGTCGATAAATTTGAATTTAATTTTAGATCGTTAAGTTAAAAATTTTACTACAGTAAGTGCCCTCATGTTTGAGCAGGGCGGCAAGCGTTTCATGGGCTATTTGTTGACAGCTCTCCGCCATACCAATTTTTTACAAGGTCTCCTCATTTGGCATAGGTATAATAGGTTGCCTATTTTTTGAGTCAACAAAAACAGGTTTTAGCAATGCAATGGCTAATAGGTCGGAAACCCCCCGCCTTCCCGTCAAAATAAAAAAACGTGTCATTGGAGTCTCAAAATCTTCCAAATTTTACCGCTAGGTTTTGCTTAAAAAAAAAAAATGGCAAAAGGGCATAAAATTTGCTGCTCCCCTACAACACCTCACCCCCTCTAATTACGTGTCAAATTTCAGAATTTTCGGCGTACGTACTTTATAGACGACCCCTTACTAAAGCGATGCAATGACAAAAGATTTATCTTGTACTATTGCGAATTCACTTTATTTACAAAAATTTTATATTTCTAAGAGAGTATTTTATATCCTCTTTTAGAATCTGGTGTTAAAAAAAAAATATCTGGAATTTTTGAATAGTATTAATTTCAGTAAAATGACTTTTATGGTGCATATCGAGGTAATAAGTTATTTATATAACTGACTATATTACTACCATTTTGTGATGCTGTTTATAAATTGATGATTTTATTTTTAGTCTAGAATATTATTTTCTTTATTTCAAAAAGCAATATTTTATAAATTCAAAGAAATTTGTTATTTTTATAACTTAACTTTAATTATTAATAGTGTTTAATGTAAACAACGATGGTAAGAAATTACATTAGAAGATCAGTTATCCAAAATGAGATGAAATGCAGTTTTAGTTAAAGAGTAAAAAAGAACTTAGAACTAGAAAAACTGCTGCTACATATGGCATATTTAAGTTTGCTCTACATTGGAATATTGCTAATAAGCCAGCTCATCAAAAATACTGCCAAATAGGGGTTGTCCATAAAATACGTAGCCAAAAAATCTGAAATTTGACACCCCCTCCCCCTTGTTGCCATGCGTACTTTTAAGTCCCAACCCCCTTAAAAAATTCGTACGTTTTTCATATACCCCACCCCCAATTAAAAAAAAAAGGTGGAAGAGATACGCTAGATACTTTAAAAGTATCAAAGGTACCTCCTCCACCATTTTTATTTCAATAAATTTTTATATTAAAAAAATATATATATAGGCGGGGGTGGGGGTGGGGGGTGGAATATATAAATTATTTATACGACTCCAAAGCCCTTTGTTAGCGGCAAAGGAACCCAATTAACAAAATATCATCAAATATATACAAATATAAATTTAAATAAAATTAAATCTTGCAAAATCGGAGAAATCGCTTGATCGAGTGGAAAATGTTTTGAGCAGTGACAAAGGAGACGCGAGTTCGATTCCCAGTAAAGTTCTATTTTACCTTTTTTGTTTAATAAGACGCATTTTTTCAAGGCAGACGTTTTTTTCAGGCACCCCTCTTTAGTAAGTCCGTAAAAAGCGAGAAGAGTAATATTGAAAACAAGGCTTAAAACCCAGTGCCGAGTGTAGGTTACACATACCCCGTAATTAGAGGGGGTGGAGTTTTGTGGAAGAGCAGCAAATTTAATGCCCTTTTGCTATTTTATTTTAGCAAAACCTAGTGGTAAAATTTGGAAGATTTTGAGACGTTTTTTTTTTTTTTTGAAGGGAGGGGGGTCTCCGACCTATTAGCCATTGTACTGCTAAAATCTGTTTTTTTGTTGACTCAAAAAATAGGCAACCTATTTTTTGCACATGCATGCACCCATGCCACCCCTTATATATTGGCCCTGAGTATACTCAGGGCCAGTATATAAGGGGTGGCAAGATTTTTTGATGTTCCAGATAGGACATTGTGCAAACTCCAAACTTAAGTATGTTTATACTTATGCCAAATGAGGAGACCTTGTAAAAAACTGGGATAGCGGAGACCTGTCAATAAATAGCCCTGAAACACTTGCCCCCCCCCCCCCTGCTCAAACGTGCGGGCACTTATGTAGTAAAAATTTTAACTTAACAATTCTAAAACTAAATTCAAACTTATCAACAGAACTTAAATTTTGTTGAAAAAATATTGTAAATTATAAAAGTTACGTCGATGCAAAATGTACAACCCCTCAATTATTTTTTTTTCAGGGGTCGGGGGTCGGAAAATTTTACTACATTAATGCCCTCACGTTTGGGCAGGGGATGGGATGCAAGCATTTAAATACGCTTTCGTACGCTTTTTGAAGACCTCCCCCTCCCCCCTATGAGTTAAACTAATGAGCTAACTAAAAAACTATGAAACTAGGGCAAAACTAAGATATATATATATATATATATATATATATATATATATATATATATATATATTATATATATATATATATATATATATATATATATATATATATATATATATATATATATATATATTAGTTTTGCCCTACCTAATTTTTAGAACAATTTCTTAAGTTTGTTCAATGATTTGTAATAAAACACAAAATTTTTTATTTATTTTTGAAATTTATAAAAAATAGTGTTAGCTATGATTAGTTTATCCGTAACTATCTTTTGTTTCTTAAATGTCCTTAAATACCCCGCTCGACCCTATAAAGATTAGGTTATTATATAACTATAAATATATACATTTTTTGTAATAAGTATTTCTATTCATAGTCATATGAACTTGTATCATAAATTTTCGTTCTTAATAGTTGATGAACTAATATTCATTAATACAAATATTCATTAATACAAATATACTCTTATTATAATGTTGTTTTTACTTCTTCAGTTGCCAGTCATCATTAATTCGTCATCATTTATGTTTAATCTTTCTCCGATTTATCTTTTGAGCAAGGATTCTAAAATAATATCACGATTGTTAATTATAAGGAAACATGATATAAACATGATTTTTATGTTACTATTACATTTGAATTTATCAGATAAATAAAAGTCATTAAGATTAAATTTAACCTTCAGCCGTCTTGGCTTGTTATCTTTTATGTAAATCAAATATAATTAATATCATAAAATATATAACAATTGATACCATTAAAAAAAAGTTTTATTTTATGATATAAAACCTTTTTCTTCTATATTTATTATTTACCTCCCCATAACCTAGGAAACCATTACAGTTGAAAAATCTTTTTGTTTAATTACTGATCAAAATGAGAAATAAAGTGTGTAATTGTGTGTCATTGTGTGTAGTTGTGTGTAACTGTGTGTAATTGGGAATTCTTTTTCGAAAGAGCAAAGGTTCTTACAGACAACGATACAAAGCGAATTATTTTCACAAATTAAAAACAATCAAAACGTTGAAACTTCAAATGCGCCTATGTGCGCCATCATTAAACTGTATTTTTGTTTTCTCTAAATGTAAAAAACTCTAACCAGCGCAATTTTTTGCAAAACATCAATATATTATGTGAGTATATACAAAAGTTTAAAATTTAGATCTTACCCGGAAGTTATTTAGCTCAAATTCCAAAAAAATTCTGCATTAACCCCTGCAATTAGTTATGTACCTGCACAATGAAATGCATTATTTACAAGAGAATTGTATCAGCATAATAACTTATGTTATTAATTTATTGGTACTACATTGTTTAAAAAATATTTGTCTACGTGCACAATTGACTTTTAAAAGATCTTCTAATTTGAACACTGTTCTTGTAAAAAATAATTTAATAATCATATCAAAATACTAAGAACTTCTTTAATATCAAGTTTAAAATATAACAGTTAATTATTTTACATGATAATAATAAATAAAATTTACAAATAAATATTTTAAAAATGTTTATATACACGAGCATTTACACAAAACAGTTTATTTACAAAAAATTTTTACAACATATTTTATAAGTTATGATTATAAAATAAGCAAAAATTAGTTTTTTTGCATCAAAAACAAATTATAAAGTGAAAATAAACAAAAGTAAATGTAAATAGTACGCCAAAACCTCGTTTCATTTAATCAAATTTTTGTAAAAAACAATGCTTTTTTTTTTTACTATTATAATTAATTTCCGTTATTAGCTAAACTTTTTTAAATTTTGTTTTATAAAAACCACTCCTAAAGAAATCATTACAAAAAAAAAAAAAAAAAAAGTATATATATATTTACACAGTTTTTAACGTATTTACAAGCGAATTTAAGTTATATAATTATAAAAAGAAAAGTTATGATAGGAATCATAAAATTTTGAAAAACATTAAACATTTTGAATTTCATCTACAGTATTGTTTCTGATATCGAGCGACGAAGATGATTCAATAATTGATTTTAAAGATGAATACCGTGAATCAATAGCTGAGAAGGAGAGATTACTAACACTTTGTCTAATAAGTTTTCCCTAAAAAAAAATATTAAAGTTAGTTAAAAAAAAGTTTTTTTAAGAAATAATAAAAAAAATTCATTATATATTAAAAAAAAAAGTTTAATAAAAAAAAAATGTTCAGGTTTTTTTGAAAAAAAAAAATATAGGTACTTTCTTGAAATAAAAAAATACATTTAAGAAGGTTATTTTTCTTTAACTTTATTTTCAAATATTAATATACTTCTTATGTATTTTATTATTATTAATAATTTGGCATACAAATTTTCTGAATGGCCTCATCCACGATCAGTTTAATATTGTTACAGGGTTATGCAGAAATATGAAATAAATTATGCTGAAATATAAATTAATTTATGCAAAAATATAAATTAAATTATGCGGAAATATAAACTAAAAAAATTCTTAAATATAAATTAAAACAAGAACATAAAAATGAAAAAATATAAATAAGAAAGTATAGTATTTAAATAAGAAATAAACAAAATCCTTTAATTTTTAAATAAACTCATTCCTTGTGTTTTGCTTTATAATTTTATATTTAATTTTTTTAAATTAATTTTCTTATTTTAATTTATTTTTTCGCATATTTTATTTTATATTTCCCTATAAATTCGTTTATATTTCTGCATAATTTAAGTTAAATTTCCGCATAACCCTGTATATATATATATATATATATATATATATATATATATATATATATATATATATATATATATATATATATATATATATATATATATATATACATACATATATATATATATATATATATATATATATATATATATATATAATATATATATATATATATATATATATATATATATATATATACATATATACTAACACATTATATAAATTGGATAAAAAATTTATTATGGCTTTTTATATTTCTTTTTTTTTTCTTTTTATATTTCTTTAAAATTTTCTTTCAATAAAAAAAACTTTATAATTTTTTTTTATTAAGTATTTACTTTTTCCGACAAAACATGTACCATAAATCACATAAATAAGTTTTTTATTAAATTTTTTTTTAAAACAAACTATTTATAAAAAAAATCATATTTGACAAAAAATCTTCAACATAATTTACCTTTGGACAACCAGCTTTAAAAGAACATTTTTCATGATTTTTGGATAAATACTTGATTACCGATTCTCTTAGTTCGTTTATAAAAAATTCATTTTTTAATCCTTTTTCTGAAGTGAAAGTTTTATTTGAAATTATCTTTACAAGTTTAAGAACATCTTCAGGTATTTTAAAACCTGCCGTTATAGTTACTTTTAAAAACGAAGGAATTAAATGTGCAATTTCAGAATAGTCATTCAGATAAATTGGAATAAATCGAGAGCAACTGTTGTTGTGATAAGCTAATCCATTTATCACTCGAACAGCAAATTCGTACGGTTTTTGATTTTCGAAATCTAAAAATTAAGATCATTCACGTAAAAGCTTTTGCTCAATTTTCATACATCATGTTAATATTTTATAAATTTAAACAATTTGCTATTTTATTAACTAAATTGTTTACCTTAAATACTAAAAGTAAATTATTAATGAGGATTAAAAAAAAAAGATTAGTGAGTTATCAAAAACTTACCTTCAGGATTTGAATAAGAACACGCAATTAAAATGTAATCACAAGTTTCAATGTTTTTTTGCATAAATGATGCAATTCCTCCATCGGAATCTATTTGAGATTGCTCAAGAGCTGCTAACTTCACATCAATCCCAAATGACTTTAAAACAAAAGTTAAATTTATCATGGCTTTATCTAGCAGATCGCAACCCGGCCGGTTAATGATTAAAACCGAAATATATTTATTGTTCTGTGCGACATCTGAGATTAAGTTATTTTCGTCTAAAAGAAAGTTAGTATATAAATCAATGCGGTAGACTGATAAAAAAAAAAAAACCTTTGCTTTTTGAAATTAAAACTTTTGCAATTTTTAAAAACATTTTTATATTCCTGATATATTTTAAAAGAATTTCTATGTATACCTTTTATTTTTGAATGATTTTCTAACAGCCAAGACTCTGACAAAAACTTATGAGTTTTGTATTGTTTATTACGCCAAACTTTAAAGTATATAATTAGGGCAAGTACTATTACAAAAGGAGCAGTCAATGTTGAAAAAACAAGAAGCAATGCATGTATTCCGCTGTGAATTTCTACAGTCTTGGTTATATTACTGAACTCGGCAAAGTCTTGGTTTCTCATTTTTTGCACGCAAACTTTTTTCAATGAGTTTATTGCATCAGCGACACTTTTATTATTTGAAACTTTCTGATTACAAATTTCTTCGGTTACTCGCAACATAAAAAGTAGTTCTACGTAAAAAGAATAAAATAGTTAAAAAAAAAAGATTTATGTAATGCACATGTTAAATATGCATTACATAAATCTTTTTTTTTTTAATATATGTTTTTTTTTTTTTAGTATACGACGTTAAGTCGTATTAAAATTATAATGAAAACAACTTTAAAGATAAAAAAGATTCGTACCGAATTGAGAACAATGAGTTAAGTTTTCATACGAAGCAGCTATAAAAAAAAAATGTTTTCTAGCTTAGTGAGTTTTTAAAAATACATTTATAAGCTTTTTAAACAAGCAGCAGAAATATTTACATTTATAAACATTTAAAACAAGCAGCAGAAAAACTTACGTTCATAAAAATTTAAAACAACCAGCAGAAATACTTACTGTCATAAAGTTCTTCTAGCGCATCTTTTTCACATTGACCTAAAGTTTAAAAAAGAACAAAATAAAGTTAAAATTAGTTGTACTAATATATTAGGCTGTATGTAAGATAAATTATATGGGAAGATCTGTCATTATTTGGTTTTATATGCAAAACCCATTTGGCGGATATCATTTGGTTTTCAAGTTTAGGGTTTAGTCAAAGTATCTCTGTTGCCAAAAACACCATATTTGTCGTTGCTGCAATTTACAACAACAGCAATAAAAAATAGTTATTTTATTATTTTGATCACTATGTCAAGTTGGGTGGGGCTAGTTAAGCATAGGGGAAAGTTAGACAATTAAATTATTTAAAACAATTATTTTTCGTTTTGGCTAAAATATCCACTATGGTTACAAACATGAATACTTCTTAAGACGAATTTTTCTTTTAACGTTTCTTTTGAGCTGACTTTATTAAACAATGAAAGTATGTAGAGCAAAATAATTTATAATTACAAAACCTTATTGACTTACTGCCAGGTGTCCTTATTGTCATTGATATTAGATGTCCAGTTGGTAAATAAATTGAACTTATTTGAATTTCCTCACCAGGTTTAACAAGAACTGATACTTCAGGTATCTGAAATAATGTATAACATTTATTGGTATTTTTTTAAAATAAGTCACATGATAATAAACAGATAGAAAAAGCGTAATAAAAAAAAATATATAAAATTTAGCTAGAAAACAAATCAAAAAATCAACTTACATGTTCATATTCCATAAAGTAAAATGTCTGTGAATAATTTTTTGCATTGATTTGAATAGCGGCCCCCCAACAGTCTAAACACATTTTTTTTTCTCTTAGTTTCAATAATATAAATTTTTTTGTCGTCAATTTTTTGTCGTCATTTTTTACAATCGGGTCGAGAAACCAACAAATTTTTAAACTTTTTTTTTTGAACTGTTCATTAAACAAAAGGCATATGTTTACAGGTGTTTAATTTACTACAGGCTAAAAAAAAAATAGAAATTCCTACCTTAGGATAAGATATGTGGTTTCCCTATAGTAAGGTATAACTTTCTACCTTATAGGTTAGAAAATTATACCTTTTAGGTAAAAAATCGAATAATAAATCATTATTTTTAATATAATTTTATACCTCAGAAGGTATAAAATTATACTTTACGAAGGTATAAAACTATACTTATATGATATACCCTAAAGTAGAAATCTCTAACTTTTTTTTATTAGTATATAATCTTTTTTTTAATAAGTTATGTATTAACTAAGCAGTGCTTATATACTACTGAATTTATACGGGTATGCTTGACCACGCTAGACCAAACTTGATTTAAATTATATTATGTAGAATTATATAATATAGTCTCACATAAGTAGTTGAACAATAAACCTGTTTATATAAATTGTTTCAAATTTTTCTGCTGTATAAATTTTATTTTTACTTATTTAAATGTTAGTTATTAAAAAACTTAATTTTAAAAAAATGAAATAATTAAAAAACTATTTAACTATTAACAATAAAGAATAAAACGGCAATACAAACCTTGAAAAAATTGCTTTGAGAAACTCTTTTCATAATAAACATGCAAAGCATCTTTGCCTTCAGTTGTTATTCCGAAAGTCGCTTGTAAAGTGTTTTCTTCTAAAAGAATACGTTCCGCGCACTGATGGGAACGAGAATTTGAGCATTTTTCTGCAAATACCTTTGCATCGAGAGCAAGTTCTATACGAATAAATTTTAATTTTACTATGACTTCAGCGAATACAAAAAAGTGAAAACAATATAAATTGTTTAAGTACGACAATATTTTATAATAAACTTAATCAAGCAACAAGCACTCACTTTCATCTCGAAGATAAGTCTCTTCAAAATATTTTTTTGTACAAACGTTTTCTACTTCTAAACATAAATATAGAAAAACTATTTATTCTTATTTAAATTAAATTGTAGCATAGATTTACAAAATATATGTGATATCACATGTTGTTCAAACAATTTAACTATCAGGTTATAGGATAAGGTTTTAGGTTACTGGTATTAGTTTTTTTGATTCTATTATTAAAGCAGCCCAGACACAGACAGACGCATTTTTAAACACATACATACAAACGCACTCTCTCACACACATACGCACGTACACAATTTTTTCCAACATACACACAGATGGTCTCTCTCACACTCATAAACACAAATACTCTCTTGCACACATACACACTGAAACACTCTCTCGCTACAGAAACATATACACAGACACATTCTCACATACATAAAAACATACACACAGATACTTTCTCACGCAAACGAACACGCGCAAATATAACTGTTTGATATGTTGTTTTGAAAAATAAATAGTTACCTATTTTTGTTGCATTGAACGGTTTTCCCTAAAAATAATTACAATTTGTTGAAAATTAATAAATGAAAAACAGTTTTAAATACATCTAACTTATGTTAATGAACCAATGAAAACAAAAGCATAATTTACGCACCATTATAGTCGGCAACATCGCCACTAATTGAAAAACACAAATAGCTGATAACATCTCCATTATTTTAATATATATTAAACTAAAAAGTTTTTATTCATTGATTAAATAGTTTATGAAGTTGAAGCTGACAAAATAGATAAGATAGCTGAGATAATGTTATGTACTTTATTAGTAATTATTATTACTTTTTTTTGCGAATACATAAATACAATAAATATTGAACAATGAATACAGATGATCAAGGCAAGAAAAAGACACAGTTTGTCTTTTTGTCAAGTCCTATATCAACTTTAAGTCAAATAAAATTTTATAAACGTACATTGTTTTTTTATTACACGTCGCAATTATGGCGGGAAAACTACAGCGCTTTGCGCGTAAAGCAAAAAGCAATGACGTAAATCGATGTATAAAGTTAGTAACAAACTTGTTGCACAAAAACAGGTCTTTTGAAAAAACAAAAAAATAATAAAATGTTTTTTTGGTTTTTTCAAAAAAAAGAATTAAAAAATTAGGTCTAAAACATTGGTGTAAAAAAAAAAAACACTGTTAAATGATATGACAAAACGGTTAGTTTTTTAGTGAAATAAAATTGTATTGAATTTAAAACAACCTAAATTTCATTAAGCGCCAAAACAAATGCCTATGGAAAAGAAGAAGTTAAGCAAAACAAACTGAAAAACGCGCGCTTTAAACTTCAGCAAAAAATTTCCTTCAGTACAAATTTTTTGACTGTTCAGCAGACAGCAATATTTTGCAAATTTGATGATTTATACCATAAACAAACGCGGCAATGTAAACGAATATGGTTTAAAATTTTACAATCATAAATGATTTATTATTCAAAGTATTAAAGTGATTCTTGATTTGATTCTTTCATCGAAAATCAATTATTTGCAACCATTAAAACCTGTATATACAGAAAAAAGAAAAAGAAAAAGATTACACTTGTAATTATAATGTATTATAGTGTTTCCATTATAAAGTGTGTCCACTATAGTGTGTCCACTATAGTGTGTCCACTATAGTTTGTCCACTATAGTGTGTCCACTATAGTGTGTCCACTATAGTGTGTCCACTATAGTGTGTCCACTATAGTGTATCCACTTTAGCGTATCCATTAAAGCTATAACTTTAATTTATTTATAATGATTTATAAAATGTAACCAAAGCATCCAAAAAACCAGCAAACTTAAAAAAATAAAAAACTTAAACGTAACAAAAAAAAAAAAAAAACTACTGCCAAAATCATAAATTATAACGTACTTATTTGCTCAGTAATTGTAGAGAAATCTATAGCCTCTTTAGAGATGTATTATTGAGATCTAAGAATATCTCTATTGATAACACAGTACTCATAATAATTATTGATCATTGTCATCGATCATATGAATCTTTAAAAAAATTTCACCACCTGTTAGATGTTACTTAGTTTAATTATCTAGTAGATACACTATCCTATTACTAAATCTAAGTATTTAAATATCTCGAGGTAATGTTTTTTATATTATGTGATGTTTAATAAATTCATAACAAATGAATTATGTATATACATTTTTTTCTGCTTTTTAAAGTTTACGTATAATTTACACTGATTTTTCACAATAGTTTTTTCAAATACTTCTAAATATTGTTTGTAACATTCGGGATAAAAATAGTAAATAATTCAGTGTTTATCGCGTACCGGCGATGTTTATCACCGCATACCGGCGATGTTTACCGCTAACTTTTTAATTGTTATAAATTTTTAAGCACATTTTTTAAAAATATATGTAAATAAACTTACTAATTATTTCAGTAATGACACATTTTACTAGACATATTCACCTAACAAGATTTAAACAGAACGCTTTAATTACATGTTTTTCAGTTTTCTTGTAATCATTGTTAATTTACCAAAATGATAAAAATCCTGATACTTAAAACCCAAAAGCGTAAACTCCTAATTAAGTAAAATTTTCTAAATGTTAAAAACAACTTCTTGTTAAAATGCTTGAAACTGTGATTTTAAATTTTGAGAAAAAAAATTAACTCTTGAACGCACGTTTGTTCAAAACAGAATTCGAAAAACTTATAACACTCTTTTTATCATAAAAAACTTGTGTTGTTTTCAGGCATGATAAAACACTAATCAAAAAGCGCTCTAAATCTTATTCAGCAGAGTATCTTTGACATTCGAAAGTTTCCTAATATTTAACATTTTTAACATATTTGCAAGCTGCGAAAGACTTGCTCAAGTTTCACGATTCGGTCCTGACGCAGAGCAAAAAAAAATATTTTAAGATTTGTTTTTGTTGTTGTACAATTTAAAAATTTTAGATTAAATATTTTGAAAATGATATAAATAATTTTGGATTAAATATTTTGAAAATGATATAAATAATGTTTATAATAGAATAACAAGTTTCAGTTCAATATTCTACTTAAAATATATTCATAAACAATTCAACATAACTGTTTTGTTGCAAAAAGGTGTTACTTATATGGATGGTTAAGCGCCAAACCTGCCTATACAACAAATATGTTAAGACGAGGTAATTAGACGCAAAGTTTAAATGTCTATAACAAAAGCCACTAAACCAAAAAAGTTAAAAGTATTTGCAGCTAATTGCACTTAAAAATTTTAATTATAGTATATTGGTGTTAGCAAAAAAACACTACTTAAATCTTTTTTTAACATAAACTAATTTTTTTTAACTTTGTTGGATAGGCAGGTTTGGCGCTTAACCATCCATATGTATGTCATGGTAACATTTTTTTATGTTAATAAGCCATTATGTTGCTTAGAACGATAAACATAAATAACCTCTTAATAGACGCTTGCCAAAATAGTTCTAACAAAACTAGCTCCTTTTCCATACTGCTTAAATTCACTGCCCTTGCGTTGCAACTGAGTTTTGCAATATGCTGCACTTAATTCGTGCATTTTGTAGCGCTATTGATAGAATAGGTCACGGTAGTGATAAAATAGATCACAGTAGTAATAAAATAGATCACATTAGTAATAAAATAGATCACGGTAATAATAAAACAGATCACATTAGTAATAAAATAGATCGTAATATTGATAAAATAGGTCACGGTATTGTAAAATTATAATTGTTTATAATTTAGATATTGACAAAAGTAAACAAATAGCATTTAAATTCTATGTGAGCATACTTTACTTTTTTAAATTTTTTTGTTTCATTATATTTGTTTCGACACACAGCATGTTCGACAAGCTGCATGTTGCTCTTCCAATCTTGTTGTTTTTACACAGCATGCTCGACATGTAACATATTGCCCTTTCATTTCTGCTTCAAAAGTGTATAAGTTAACTCCTTAGTGAAATCCAAATGTAATGCTGGTTAACTAACAATTTCAATGTCAGTAATAATATTTAATTACTGTTAAACAAATGTATAAATCATTGAAAACTAACAATTTTTTTTAATGTTAATTTTTATTTATTTATTAATTTAAATTAACTCAAACTCATCAAATTAAAAAAACAACAACCATTGTTTAGTATTTTTTTCAGATAATTTTTTTCATCATCAATTCAATTATTAAAATGGTTCAAAAAAAAGTTAAGAAGTAAACTAAGTATTATAATTTTCATAATTTTTGCGTAAAATTAATAAATGTGTTTATTATTTTTAAGTCAGACTTTTTTATTGCACAAACACTCTTAGTCATTTGTTGGTAGTTTCCAAGTTCCTTTTAATAACTAAGTATTAATTTTTAATTCATAATTCGGTTTAAGAAGTAAATAGAACCCCATAGCTTAAACTTGGCTTGAGCAAGGGCTACTATCAATATTATAATAATATATATTAACGGATACAAATAAAAAAATAAAATAAAAATGGGTCATAAGTTTTTTTATTTTTTAAATCAAATTGCCATTATTTATACATTTGGGCCCCATAGCAGTGGCTATGGTCTGGTGTAAACATTTCCTGACTTAAAATTTATAAGAACTCTAATTTTCAACTCGTAAAATTTGCATTTATGTTTGTATATTATATAGAAACATTTAAAAATTATTATATATGAATATCAAATAGGATATATATATATATATATATATATATATATATATATATATATATATATATATATATATATATATATATATATATATATATATATAAATGAATGATTTACATGCAACTATCTTTGAATGTCAATAAAACAAAAACCTTATTGTTTTATAAATTGATTAAGGAAAAAAATATCCCTCTTATACTGCCCACACTGCTCATTAATAAAAGTAAACTAAAAATTAATTTTCCGTGAGTATTTTTGATATCAATTTTATAGTTAAAATTTTATAGATGAAATTTTAAAGTGTAAACTTCATAAAAAGTCAGTTAAAAGAAAAATTTCAAAGAATATTGCTGTTTTATACTGTTAAGTCATTCCTAATTATAAAGTCCTTGAAAAATTACACAGCTACTTAATTTTTGTGTTTGTATTTTTCATTTATACACAACTACTTAATCTATGGCAACATAGTTAAGGCACAAATCACACTAAACTAACCCAACCATACAGCAAACAAAAATATGCCTGCAGTATGTGCACTTAATTTTAAAACTAAACATTAATCTTGTTTTATAGTTCATGGATAAAACAAAATATGGGTTGTCTAAAATATTTGATTTTTATTTTACAGAAACTAACCATAAATATATATATATATATATATATATGTATATATATATATATATATATATATATATATATATATATATATATATATATATATATATATATATATATATATATATATATATATATATGTATATATATATATATATATATATATATATATATATATATATATATATATATATATATATATATATATATATATATATATATATATATATATATATATATATATATTTATTTATTTTTATTTAGGTGCCCCAAGAAGTCCTTACAGTCTTATCATAGAGTACCGCGGTTGAGCATTTAATTGGCAGTTCACGCCTCTTTCCTAACCGATGTCGCAAATTTTGCCAGAGGTGGGGTTTAAACCACGGATTCTTTCTATTTTTTTAGTTACTATTTTAAAAAGAGTTTCCATATTTTTATAAAAATAAAAAAATATTGGAGTCATCTATATTTCTTCATTTGAATCGCATCAT